TTTATCTATGTTCACGTGAAGTCCTATCTTTGATGCTTCTTCTGCCAACTTGTTACTTTTCATTTGCATATCTTCCAGTTTATGGGAAATCAGACATATATCATCGGCGAAATCCAGATCCTCCAAGTCTTTTGTGTCAGTCCATTTTATGCCTGTTCCCTCGTTGGTTGCCGTTGTCTGTCGCATTATCCAATCAATTGCAATCAGGAAGATCATTGGTGATAGTAGACAGCCTTGCCTCACTCCCGTCCTCACTTCGAAGGCTTCCGTAAGTTTCCCGTTGTGGATTACTTGGCATGCAGCATTGTCGTATAACTGTTGGATGAGGTGTATAATTGTCGATGGGACCCCGTAGTAGCGAAGTAGTTTCCAAATGACCTCTCGATCGACGCTGTCGAAGGCCTTTTCAAAGTCGATGAAGTTGAGATAGAGAGGTGACTGCCATTCCAAGCTTTGTTCAATGATGATCCGTAGAGTGGCGATTTGATCAATACATGATTTGTTTCTCCTGAATCCAGCCTGTTCCGGACGAAGTTTTTCATCTAGGGCTTGTTTGATTCTCTCCAGGATGATGCGACTTAGTATCTTGCTTGGAATGGACAGAAGCATAATTCCACGCCAGTTTTTACATTGACTTAAGTCTCCTTTCTTTGGAAGTTTGAATAAGTAACTGTTCTTCCAATCCTCGGGTACTTTGCCCTCTTTCCACACCTTCTCCAGTAGTGGTGTCATCAAGTCCGCTGTTGTCTCTGGGTCTATTTTCAAAGCCTCTGCTGGGATTCCATCTGGTCCCGGTGTTTTCCCAGTTTTAAGCATCTTGATTGCATTCAGGACTTCTGATTTCGTCGGGGGGTCAGTGTTCACTGGTAGTTCTGCTTCCGTTGTTGGTATTGCTGGACGTGTTGTAGGTGGCGGACGATTTAGAAGTCTTTTGAAGTGTTCAACCCAGTGCTTTCTCTGTTCCACCTCTTTGGTGATTGACTTTCCATTGTCGTCCTTTATTGGCTTAATCTGTGTCGAACGTTTGCCCGAAAGGTTCCTAGTTGTTTGGTAGAGTGTGGCGAGGTCTCCTTTGCCTGCAGCTTGTTCTGCTTCGTTTGCCATGGTTTCATAATATTTTCTTTTGTCTTCCCTGGCACTTTTCTTCACTCTTTTGTTCAGTGTATTGTAGCTTGCATTCAGCTCCTGTTTTTGTTGCTCGTCCGTGCACTGGATAATCTTTTGCTTCACTGTCCTTCTCTCTTCTATTAGTTTCCAAGTGTCCGTAGTGAGCCACTGTTTGTCCTGTCTCTTTTTTCTGCCTAGAATTTCTATGCAGGTTTGGCTCCACACCGTTTTCAAGTTGTTCCAGTGCTTTTCAACGCCGACCTCTTCGCTAGTGTTGATTTGTGTCTCGACTTTGTCCTTTATGCTTGCAATGAAGATGTCCTTTGTAGCCTGGTCCTTCAGCTTTTGAGTGTTGAACTTGGCTTGTGGTCTATCTGCAGCTCCTGATTCCCTGAAAGCTTTTAATTTGATTTGGATTGTCCCTTGTACGAGATAGTGGTCTGAGCCAACGTCTGCTCCTCTTCTTGCTTTTGTGTCCAGTAGGCTGCGCCTCCACTTCCTTGAGATTGAGATGAAGTCGACTTAACAACATGAAATTAACAGAAGATCTAACTAGAACAACTGCACATACTTCACATGAATTGTATTCAGCAAAAAGACGCGAAATTTAGCCCTGTTATGACCAATAACTTAAAAATACTACCCGTCGAAATAATACTGTTTCAAAAATCTGTTAATCCATATCGTTTCTGGATTCAACCAACTTCTCCTCTTACAGAAGACTGCTTTTAAAGTTGTCTTTTATCTATAGCCAACTCACTGTCACTTAATCTTCTCCCTTTTCGTATTTTTTTCCCTTCTAACATGAAAGAAATCAATTCTATAATCTTCAAAGTGCCTTGACAGAAAATGGTTCCGCACCAACCAATGCATAGAAAAGAATCGAAAACTAATGAAAACGTCTGAACAGATAGGTCCAAGTAGCCCCTAAAAAGAGGCTACTACTTAACACCGAATTTAAAAGCTATACTGAAGCAGAACTTCTCCGTATACAACTTTCGAAATCTCTCAGTAAAACATGTTTCGTTGTCAACCTACGAGTGACACTTTCTTGTAAAAAACTATTCAGCTAGCAGGTGAAAAATACTCTGTCTTATTGGGCCAATTCAGCATGGCATACACTATTTCGCCTACTCCTAAAGAGTCAAGCAGCACATTGACCGTACCATGTGTCCGCTTGTAAAACGCACTCGGGAACACTATCCAGACTGGCTGGCTAACAAAAGGAGAACACAAGTGTGTATGTAGTTGGGTGACAGAAAATCTGGTGAACTCAGAACACTCAGCTCCATTTGAAATATCCTTCAAAGTCATATCAAAGATCCGATCAGTCTTCTCAAAGGCAGTGAGATCAAGGCATCTGGGTCTAGCTGGAGCGCTAGTGATCTAAAAGTTCAAACCCATGCTATTCATTCAAAAGATATCCCTCCAATCGTTGTCTCTACCATGGCCATCATAAAAAGTCAACCTTCTCCATCGTGACTATCCTATTATCTTTCTTATTCAATCTTCCTGTGTATTTTACGTCTTCTAATTCCTATCTGCACTACTATATTTTTTATCCCAAATTACTGCTTATTCTTTTATTACTACACTTTTAAATCTCCTTATTGCACAAAAAGGTCAATTTTCTCAGTAATTATGATCCTAATATGCTTTTTATCGGATCTTCCTGTTGATTGTTCGTTCACCCTCCTTTATGGCTGTGAGTGACACATGGCCATTGAGAGTGGAAAACATGAAAAGACTGGCTAGCTAGCTGTCTTCGATCATAGGTGTCTTCGTTCTATCTCCCGTGTGAAGTGGTACAATGTGACTATTATTTCCTTTCACTCCTACAGGAACATAGGGCTTCAGCCGCGCGTCTCCATTGCGTTCGGTTCTATGCTAGAGTTTTCACCTGGCTCCAAGTCTGCCCACATGTTTTCATCTCTTCACATGACCTTCTCCAAGTCACCCTTGGTACAATAGGATGTCTGTCTGTCTGTCGAAAACAGGATCCTACAATAGGATGAGCAATATTGAGGTTAGGCCTCAGTTGAGTGCTACATAAGGAGGGGAAATCAATCGACGAGGCTGTGAAGCTACATCGACTGAGATGGTTAGAACATGTGTTACGTATTCCTAGTCATCGCCTGCCTCAACAACAAACAACGTTAGCTGACATAGGGTCAGGCTGGAAAGGAGCCAACGGTGGTCAAACCAAAACATGGCTTCACCAGTCAATGAAATCCACAACAGTTAGTTTAAGCCAGCTAGACACATAAGGAAGTGTAGACTTCCTGACTGGTTGGGGTACTCGGGACGGTAGAAACCAATGTCTGGCGACAATTAGTGATATGACTCAAAATCTTTCTAAATGGCTAGCACAGATGCATCCACTCCTTGTGACTTATAATATCCAATAAAACTATATTGTTCTTCCATATTACTATTCTTTTTGCTACATATCTCTGTATACTCTCCCCGTTTTGCGTTTCTTTTTACTTTCTTATCTTGCTTTGTGTGCTACATGGAGTGTGGCGACTCGGACTCCTGCACATCGGTGCAAAGTTCTTTACTGAAACCAGTCAGTCAGTTGTGATTTATCATATCGAATAAAACTCGATTATTCTTCTATGTTAGTAATCCTTTTCCCTCACGCTTCTCTTTAATCTCTTGCTTTGTGTACTACACGCAGGGAGAGTGGCAACTTGAACTGCTGCATATCTTTACAAAGTTCTATGTTGAAACAGGTCAGTTAGTAAAACACTAGTGTCTAACTTCTCATCTTGTCTCTTTTTTATGATACAATCCCATATCGGAAGCTCCTTTTTCGTGACTTTTCAATTCATAAGTAAACCCACTTACGCCAACTATCGGCGTCATACATATTTGTATTGTCTTTAATACTATAAATAAATGTACAAACATCCTAGACCCAGCATACTCTGATGTAGGGCTGGACGTTTTGAACACTGACACTTCCCACCTATCCATAAATATACATTCGGCACAATTGGCGGTGTCGGTAACACCACAACAACTCGCTCGTATCTTTTTTTCGTAGCTGAAATTCTAACATTGTAGCAGCCAGTGCTCTACTGATACCTTGGTGACAATTTCAAGTGTTTAACCGAAATTGAGTTACTTCCCGACCGCTTCTACAACAGCCATGCTTACTGATACTTGTGTGTACAAGCTAACTGATGACATCGAGACTGTTGACCCTCTTTTACCCTTACTTACACTTCAGTTTTTTTCATAGCAATAAATATGTCTACACTTGGAATAGTTCCTAACCGGACTTATTTTGTTGTACAACATGTGTGACTCGGTGAACAATACTGTGGCCTGATAGAAGACAAAACAGCCACTTCGACTGTAAGCAACCAAATGACTATGTGTAAAAGGATGCTATTGCGAATCGTTTCTGTCCATAAAAACCTTTATCAGTTTTAAGTTCAAACACTGAATCGGCCTTATTATAATCTGGACAGTTCCCTAACTGTTGTCAATTCGTGACACGAAATCTATCTCAAAATCAATAATAATCCGACAAACTAGTCTTCTAAGTACTAATTCACTGAGTGAATTAAAGACGGATTTAACTGAGATGTCATGGTCAGTGGAGTCCAACAAGTCTTGCATGGGGAGGAACACTGGTTGATGACGGTATTGAATAGATAAACTAGGATTCATGAGATGTTCAGTCCTGACAGTGACAGACTGACAATACTTTCACCTAGTAGTTCAAAGGTTTTGGATTTGACCCCTGGTAGGATTGTGTAAGGGGCACTGAAAAGTTCCAAGCTACGATGCATGAAACAGCTACTTAGTGCTTTTCAGTGTACACTAGTTGTTCAACCAATGTCACTGCGTGACGAAATCAAGCCATCACAAAACCAAAATCAGGAAATTTCTAAGTTGTTTTTAATCCATCACATCATTGAATAACTTCAAAAAACAGAATAAAATTACACAAATAACAATTAAAGCATTTATTAAAATAAATCCATATATACAATTATTTAAATTCGATCAACGCCTTCCACAATATTGATGCTGTTTCCACGAACAACTGCCATATCAATTTTCACTTGATCTCCATTCTTGGCAACTTCATAGGCATCACTAAGGACAATATTCATAAAAGCGTCATATCCGCGTAAAATACCAATAACCTCTCGATTAGCATTTAGCCTGACTGCAAAATGAAAGAGAATAAATACATACTCCATGCAGAACATTCATTATTAATTTCACTAAATATTCATTATAAATTGGGAAAACCACAACATCAACTGTAACTACCTATTCTGTAAAGTTAACTTCTCTGTTTTGTAAGACGACATTACAAAGATTTGTACACCAGGAAGCAATGAACTCATTAACAGTAAAGCAATTTACTCCAGTTGGTCTCAAGTGTCATAAAAACTGAAAACCATAGTAGCATAGGTTGACTAAGAATTAGTGCAGTAGTAGGAGAATAGGAGTTTGAGGTTAACATTTCCCAGAGGCCATGCACTTTAGCTCAGGGATTATAAAAAACCGGAGGCGATCAGTCCACAAAATGAGTTCCGTGGAATGTAGAAATGTTTTTTTCAGGTATTTGTCCTTGGGCAAGAGTAAACAATATACGCCAAATTCAGACAACTCTGAAACAGCCAATCAGATAGCTCAGTATTACAAACGTATATTAGTCACAATCCTTGTTACATGTGTCTCGTAGATTTGGTTTCTGACTTCTCTGTGGAAAAGAGATCAATAGGAAGGACTAAAACATGCATATGTGGAGGGATAATGGCTCTGAAAAGTATTGCCGGTCTATTGGTGGTTATGCATTCACGTGCAACCACCGTATACGAGGAAGTCTGTAAGTGGTACATAGTGGTGATTTTTTGGAACTTTCTACTTGAAACAGAAACTCTCCCTTAGTAATATAATGCCTATATGCGACCAGTACCTGCTATAGCTGCATAAATAGAGAATACACTAGTTTGATGTGTCCATAAACACTTCCTCGAGAAAATGGGGCCAGTTTTTGCAGTATATTAGAGATAAATACCCTGTTTGATTTATTTTAATTACATATCAGTCTAACCCTTGGATTTTAAAAACCGAACCTATATTAATTATCACAAGGTGACATTCACCTATCAAGCAGAGATGATAAAAGATCCAAATCTAACTGATGGGAGCAATAAAGTTTCCTAACTTATTAGAACTTTGTACACAGATTTAGGTCGTAACAATACCATTTAACATAAAAACATATCAATAACACCAAAAGGGTACATGGTTGCGGAAGGAACTTAACGACTAAGTGCACACTAACGTTATTTTCAGTCTCCAAACAGTAAAAAAGGAATATACCCACAATATTACTGATTAATACGGTAGAACTATGGCTTATTGGTTTAGGCGCTCGATTTTTTAGCTTAAAGGTCACGGTTTCGTGCTCTTACCCACCTATCTAGGTGTTGACAGCCAGGTACTACCACTAGTCCTCGCACAGTAGCCTCTAACCACCAGTTCTTAACGCTAATATACTTGTCTAAGACCAATAGTCAATGATCTCGTTGATTAGTCCTATAACTATCCTATGCCCATTCCCTGAGTATTTTAATGACTTCACTTCAAGTAGAACTGCTGTGTCGGAAATGTAGTAGCTGAACACGCGCGGCACAAAGCCGATGACTTCATTCAGTCCACACAAAAGTGCATCACTTCAAGTTACTAAATCACGAACAGCACTCAAAAGAACAGATATAAAGCCACATTTACAGGAAGATATAATTATAATATATACATGAAATGTGACAGTAATGCAAGGTTAAAAACTGGATGAAGTTTCAAATAACTTATTATTCATAATCCTACTTAAGCCATCAGTACTTGAAGGTGATGGATTTTCGTGCTTAGAACACGTACGAGACTCCTCAATAGATGAAAATTCAAGTCATCTACTTACTCCCTATCAAACCTTATCATTTAACACTCAGTTAAAAATGCCAAGTGAACGAAGCTAACTACGATGCGAATGACCTGGTTTTTTCATATTTCCGCTATTAGCGACCAGTTTCTTACCCTACTTCTGAATCTAACCGACAGTTTTATTATAATTCGATTAAGCTTTTGCAGAAAAAGTTAACTTTTTAGTGGAATGAAATTTTTAAACCAGACAAACTGCGTTCAGTGCGGACAGAGCTTACACAATGGATACTGACGTGTTTACCACTGTCTCCTTGTTTGTACAAAACAACCTACCTACATAGCACAGACCACTTACCGGAATTTCGTCCAGCAGTGTCCGATACAGTAGGACTTATGGTTTTAACATGTAATTTTCGAACAACCAGATGAAGTCAGAAGACTAAATAACGTTAGGTCTTATGTGCGCATGTCAGCAACACTGAATAAAACCACCACAAGTACCAAAAATTCCCACTCAGCACCATACTGATTTAATTGTGTACATGCAATTTGGTTTTTTTTATTACAGCTTCATTCCATACCGTATTTTTTGGACAGGTATGGAACTTCCAGCATGTGGTATCGGTAGCCCAAACTTTGCAGACCGACCATAGATATCAGGTTGCGTTGGCAGGGGATCGAACTTCGGACCATGTGCATGATCGGCGAGAGTCATAAGCGCTGTGCCACAGGGAAAGTCACTACAGGACGAGCAGAGAGATGACTCAGTCTAAAATATATAAACCTAAGACAACTGAAAATAACTTAACTAAATGCGTGATTTGCACAATATTTAAGTGACAAAATTATACGATGGGTATGAGATGTTACAAACTTACGTCGGAGTCGCTTGTCGAGGTACCTATAAAACAATTATTTATAACGAATCAATAATGAAGGACCCACTTCTTCAGTTCTGGCTGATGTGCTTTGCTCATTATGAATCGAACGTCAGGAAACTGGGCGTGAAATGCAAAAATTCAAACCGAGCGGAAATGAATTTGAGATTTGCGGTAAAGTGCGCACAGCTCAATATCCAATGCTTTCTCCAAATATTGACGAACTAGTATAGACCCTTTTGATATTTTTACCTGATTTCTGCAGTAAAGGAGGCTTTGGCATATTTAAAAAGGTTTTGTGCTGGATGGGAGTCTCGGATGGAAAATCATCCGCCACTGGCTGGAAATGCAGGTATATTCAGCTAAATATTTCCAAATAGAATGAAATGAGTATGATGAACTTCACCACTGTCAACTCAATAAAATGTAATATGCAGTGGGTGTTCATTGGTGAAACGATCGCGGCCTCATAACTGTCACTGGTAGTGCCCCCCTAGGCGTCACCTAACTAAGGAACAGACAGCGAGCTTAGGAAGAATGGAAGTGGAAAGTGAGGCTGGAAACCACACTCCGTATTTGAACCTCACTTCTAGCTAAATTTTATAGTGTAAATCCCTTTATTCCAACTGTAAAGCAAGGAACAGAATATAAAGAGGGTTAAAGGGTCAGCTGAACTAAAAAATTTAGTTATTGGTCTATATTCGGTATTCACAGTGAGCGAACACCGCATCCAACACATGTAAAGTATCTGCCTATGTATTTATAAGGAACTCTGGATACATCTGCAGGAGATCAAAGAAGTTCATTCATTCAGTTGAACCTCAGACAGTCTTGTTTCAGTGGTCAATTTTACTCAGTGCTGACTGCTCCAGATTCCAGACAATTTGTTTTTCGAGGAACAAGAGCGCAGCTCTTATGTGTTGTGATCGCACATTTCTAAACTTTTCATTCCATCGTTAACAAATATATCCTTGAATGGTCACGTTACAGGCAACCTGATCCACGTAACCCTGTGACTGGGCTAAAGAGTGGACAGGCAGTGGGGCCAAAGCTCAGGCCTGGCAGGAGAGGTGGCCACTAATACCTGACCTAGTTTGCGAAGGAGATCGCCACGTTCGATGGTTGCAAATGCTTTTTAAGAATCAAGGAATGCCATATGAACCTAGATGTTCATGTTCCAGAATATTTAGTTATTTCACGCTGACAGTAGATTTCGGGCACTGGATTTACTCCCCTGGAACCGTGATGCACACCTTGAAGTTCTTTGTGTTCGTCCCGATGTATCTTAATACGACTGTCTACCAGGCTTCTTGGCATCTTTGACCCAGCAGGAGTATTGCTAATGGTTTAAAAGTCATCTCATCTCGCCGATTTCACCGTTGTAAATAATCCTCATGATGCTTCTATTAGTCCCATGTGCCACCTTATCCATGAGAATCTATTCCTCAAGTTTGGTGTTGCTGAAGGAACAGTGGTTAGGATAGCTATGGGGATAATCCCAGTGTTCATCGAGCGGCAGTCATGGCCAAACCGTGAGCCCTGTAGCACCAAGCTAAAATGTCATGATTTTAGCTTAGTCACCTCATCAAGAGCACCAATCCCACACGCTCGCAAAGAAGTAGGTCGAAGGTCACTGTGATGTGGCAGCTACTACCTGGGGTGTCAAAAGTCAGTGCATAATCCTGTTCTAACCAATTTTGGCCAAATCCCACCTAATGTCCTCTCAAAAGTTCCCAAGTGATCCAGCCCTTCTAATAATATATAGATAACCTTGAAGAAACCCTAACTACAGGTTGGGAAATTCAGTGACAGTGTCTGTGGTGTTAGTCACTCGATCATTGCTTGTGTTTCGTATCAACGCTTCATCACACAAATCTATTTAACTGGACTACAAAGTTTATTGATGGAGTGTAGAGTAAGAACTGATAACGAACTCTGTCAGCCACGTCTCGTAAACCGTTAATGCCCAGCTCTTGCTACGCTCGGGCCCACGCTGTTCCTTGCAGTTTTTCAGAAACGCTTAGCTATAACAGACGAAAAAACCAAAACACCGATTGGCCGCTTGAGAATTCTTTATTGTTACACCAACATATAAAAATAACAATTGAACTAAGGTCTGTGAACAAATATTACAATAATAAATTACAAGATTACTTCTGATGGTTGTCTCCTGACTTCTTTCTGAACAGCGACCGATGAGACGATGACTGTCGTATTGATGCCTCCGCGAAAATTGGGGAAGTTGATTTTGAGCAAACAACCAAGAATTGATCGTTCAATCTTCAACTCCATTGACACTCCCTGGCAAAAAAGGGATCAAACCCCTTTTTTCCATCACGACCAAACACGTTGACTTGGATGCCATTGCGAGAACCTGGGTCACGTGGACAGAGCTGAAATGGAAAACAAACAGAAAAGTCAACACACCACAAGCACACTCATAGCACAATCTCACACATCAATGACGACCTGCGCCTTCCAGTTAAAGGCATCCTCTTGCAACGCAATCGCCACTTGCTAGAATGACTCCTGCAGAATGCAACGTGACCATAACAGCACCTCACGATACTCTACGCTCATCCTCTTATCTACTCACTACCAATTACCACTGAAATCGCTTGTCACTCATTCGGCCTCAGTTCTAGTAACGGTGACGTATGTGAGCCTCAGTCGTTTACACTCTTTCTCCCCGGAGTGTGGGACCACAGCTAACAATTATCTCCGTGTGCATTTCATTCTCAGCAATAGTCTCCCTGGCGTATACGATCCATCTGCTGTCCTTAACATCAATCAATTCATTCACAGATGTAGAAGACTAGAAACAACTTCAGAAGTAATCACGACGAAAATTTTAACAAAATTACGTAATAACAACGAGGTACGAAAACAACAAGTAAACACAATGAATCCAAAAACACCAATTGATATGACACACCACACGTATACACAAACAGTACAAACAAACTCGCAGATCGTGTCTCGATGGAATTCCTTTGAAGAATTGCAGGACTTACACCAGTACGCCTACAACCCTTCACAGGTTGACGATTGTAAGTTGAGGAATGTCCGGACACAAACAAGATAAACAACAGCTAGATAACATGATATCAATTCAGTATATGCAATATGAACTTATGTACAAAATCACACACCAAGCACATTGGGCTGCCCTTTGAAGAATTGTAGGACTTACAGCAGTACGCCTACAACCCTTCTCAGGTTGATGATCCAAGTAGAAGTCGTCCGGACACAAACAGAATTACCAACAGCTAGATGACAGATGATATCAATTCAGTACATACAACATGAACATATGTACAAATTCACCCACCAAGCACATTGGACTGCTCATTGATGCGTTACCCTTTGAAGAATTGTAGGACTTACAGCAGTACGCCTACAACCCTTCTCAGGTTGACGCCCTAGGTTGGAAAATCGTCGCAGAGTTCATTTGCGGACTTCCTTCTATCAGCCATATCCTCGAATCTGAACGGTAACACGCCCATGTCATTGTATCGTAAAATATAGATGACGAACAAACACATGAAGTATCTGGTCAACCAAGCGTAGACACAGAGTAATTTACACCAAAGATAATAACATTCAAATAGAAACTTGAAACTAGAAATGCCTTTATTCATGCAAGTCAATTTAACAATTACTCTCTCGTTTACACTGGGCTTATCCTTACTAAACTGACCAATATCTTACGTCTTTTCAAACGCACCAAAACTCTCAGAGTCATTGCACAAGATACTTGAGTTGATGGGCGTCTTTTTCATTGTGGATGACAACACCAACGACGACTGATTGATACCAGTTGATGAAGTTAGCGGTGGATCAGAAGCTGTTCTTGTTCGGCTTCCAGAAATTTGTCTACCTGCAAGACCACCACCACTGCTGTCTTTTACTATCAGCTCAGGTTTAGCACTAGCATCTGATGATAGGTGGGCTACATGCTGATCACTCACACTGACGGTCTCACAAGTATGCATGCCTTCTGCAACTGCTTCTGCATTTATTTCTACTTCACGTTCAAGTTTTACAGAACTTTTGTTCAACTCAGCAGTAGTAGGCATATCTATCATCTCATCATGATCAACCAAAGACAACTGTGAAGTATCATGATCATTATCACGAATATTCTTTTCACCGTCAACTTCATCATTTTCAAACTCTTTAATAACAGAAGTAGACAATTTTGATTCCTCCTCACAAATCATTAAAGGTTTTATATCTTCACTCTGACTAGTAATACCTTGTAAACTTGTATGGTCAGAACTGCACCCTGAAGCAGTAACTCTATTCTGTGACACTCTATTCTACAATGGCTTACCAGTTGCAACTACAGACTTCTTCACCGCACCGTTATCGTCACACAATTCGGAGTCAGACCTGGGGTTTACATTTAGCTTATCACTGAACTTGCTCACTGGTTCACAGTTCACCTTTGTATGCACCTCTTGCAAACGTGTAAAACACAACCGTGTTTCTCTTGCAGCTTGTAACTTATCTGTTGAGGATGTACTACGAAACCTGTTACACTCACTAGGTCTATATGCATTACTATACATCATGGAGCCTTCTCGATATCCACCTCTCTGAGGCCCTTTCGTCATCAATGATTGCATTTTGCTCTCAGACTGCTCTATTCTAGGGGTGAGATTCAATATACTGGCAAACTTGCTCATAGATTGATTGAGATTATCTTCTACTAGTTTCAGGATATCATCAAATTTTGGCTCGATACCCTCATCCTCCATACGGGAGCTTATCTTCACCCACTTCCTTTGCAGTCGAGTAGGTAGGCGTCTTGCAATTACCTCTAGGACTGAGCTCGAGTTGAGGTCACTCATGCAATTCATCGAAATCAAGGTATTCTTATAAGTCATAAGATTATCTAAAAACTCAGTAAGTGCCTTGGAGTCATCTTGAAGTTGACTTCCGTTACCTTTGACAGCTTCGTATACGTTCCTTACAATCATTGAAGGTCTTCCAAACCTTTGACGTAATATGCTCATAGCCTCAGCGTATCCCTCATTAGGGGGCATGAGCTTACAGCACTGTATAGCTCTTGAAGCATCTCCAGTGCAATACCTCATCAAATACATCAATTTCATTTCATCAGTTAATAAAAAACCACTCAGCATGATCTCAAATTCCTTTACAAATTGTAAATAATCAGCCGGGTTTCCATCAAAACATCGTGGTTCAAATCTGGGGAGTTTGATGTTCCTATTATCCCTGAATGGAGAAACAGTAACATCAATCATGTCATGCTTAACATCAGACACATCGTTACAAGTAACAGACAAGTCACCATGACTTACTTTCCTG